CAGTCAAGCATGGTGGAGGTAGTGTCATGGTTTGGGCTTGCATGCCTGCTTCTAGACTGGGCTCACTCATCTATATTAAAGATGTAACTCATGATGGTGGCAGCAGAATGAATTCACTATTCTACAGAAACTTTTACAGAGAAATGCATCACTTCTAATCAGGACGAACTTCATCATACAGCAAGACAATGACCCAAAATACACTGCCAACACAATAAAGGACCTCAACAGCGAAAAGCAGAAGGTTTTAGACCACCAGGTTACCAGACCTGAGCAGCATTTCACCTCCTGAAGGGGAGACTGAAGGTGAACCCCCCCAAAACAAACAACACCTGAAAGAAGCTGTGGTCAAAGCCTGGAAAAGCATCACAAAAGAAGAATGCAACAGTTTTGCGATGTCAGTTGGTCACTAGCTTGATGCAGTTATTGCAAGCAAGTGATATGCAACTGAATATTAAGAGTTATTTACTGTTTCTGAACTTTTGCTCACCTGAAAATTGGATGGTCTGCCACCAAAAGAGCCATGTTCTAAGTTATTTTACACATCTAGATGTAAGTGTCAGTGAATAAAAGCTGAAATTCTGATGTCTTCAGTGTATAGAAAAAACAAAAGACCTCATTGTCCCAATACTCACAGAAGACACTGTATACAGACACACACACTCACAGATACAGAAAGATTTCTTTTAATTGTATCTGTATTTATTTGTATTTGTTCTAATGCTGTATGGGACTGTTGCACAAGCAAAAACACACTAAATGCTGAGATGAATGGTTTTAAGCAAATTGCTTAGGTGCATTTTCACAGAGTACTTTATATATAATACATTTGAGACCTTATTATTATTATTATTACATGTAAAGAACATATAATACACATTTGGCATTACTGTTATATGTACACAGAACATGTACACATGTCTCAGAAATAAAGGTAGTAAACTGTCATTGGGGCAGTACCCCTCTTGTCACTGGGGTGGGACCCTCAAGGGTACATCTCAGTACCTTTAGTCAGGGAACATAACTGTACCATAATCCACTGAAATGATGTTTTCTAGGCTGTACTGACTCCACACACCCCGTCTCGTCTCCAGGCTTTTATTTTACTGTTCTGTTTAAAAACATTCAGTTATGAAAAGGTACAAATACGAACTTTTAACCTGGAAAAACGTATTTAAGGTTCACAATTTGACCTTAAAACCACTGTTGTACCTTTGAGGGCACATTTACATTGTTTGTACCTTGATGAACGAAAAGTGTACCTGAACAGAACCTTCATTTCTAACAGTGTAGGTACTTACATATTGTTACTGGGTTGACAAAACCTTGTATTTCTAAATGGTAACTTCACAAGAAAAGAAAATTCTGAACTTGTGAATTATGAATGTAATTTCATTCCAATGGGACATATTACTACATAGAGATAATTACACACACACACACATATATATATATATATATATATATATATATATATATATATATATACATACATATATGCCCCCATGTCTTGACAAAGTATAAAAACAAACCTGTGTGTGTGTATGTGTCTATGGAATTCAATCCACCCTGGTGGAATAGAGCTAAACTGCTGAGTGAAGACATCATGTCTCACCTTTGATGACCTTCTTCAGAGAAAAAAGAGAGAGAGACATATAGACAGAGAGAGAGGGGAAAGAAAGAGGCAGACAGAGCTACATATAGGCAGAGAGAGAGAGAGAGAGAGAGAGAAAGAAAGAGGCAGACAGAGCTACATATAGGCAGAGAGAGAGAGGGAAAGAAAGAAAGACAGCTACATATAGGCAGAGAGAAAGAGAGAGAGGGAAAGAAAGAGGCAGACAGAGCTACATATAGGCAGAGAGAGAGAGAGAGGGAAAGAAAGAAAGAGAGCTACACATAGACAGAGAGAGAGGGAAAAAAGAGGCAGACAGAGACACATAGGCAGAGAGAGAGATAGGGAAAGAAAGAGGTAGACAGAGACACATACAGGCAGAGGGAGAGAGAGAGAGGGAAGGAAAGGCAGACAGAGACACATAGGCAGAGAGAGAGAGAGAGAGAGAGAGAGGGAAAGAAAGGCAGACAGAGACTCATATAGGCAGAGGGAGAGAGAGAGAGAGAGAGGGAAAGAAAGAGGCAGACAGAGACTCATATAGGCTGAGAGAGAGAGAGGGAAAGAAAGAGGCAGACAGAGACTCATATAGGCAGAGAGAGAGAGAGGGAAAGAAAGGCAGACAGAGACACATATAGGCAGAGAGAGAGAGAGGGAAAGAAAGAGGCAGACAGAGACACATATAGGCAGAGAGAGAGAGAGGGGGAAAGAAAGGCAGACAGAGACTCATATAGGCAGAGAGAGAGAGAGGGAAAGAAAGAGGCAGACAGAGACTCATATAGGCAGAGAGAGAGAGAGAGGGAAAGAAAGAGGCAGACAGAGACTCATATAGGCAGAGAGAGAGAGAGGGAAAGAAAGAGGCAGACAGAGACACATATAGGCAGAGAGAGAGAGAGGGGGAAAGAAAGGCAGACAGAGCTACATATAGGCAGAGAGAGAGAGAGAGAGGAACTTGCGTGTCCAGACAACAGACCTTACAGACACAGTGTTCCCTCTCTCTTATCTTCACGCTCTACTTCTCCTTTATGTTCTTTAAAGGAGTACGGAGATGTTTTTCATCCTATTCTCTGTATTCTACAGTATACAGTCTTTTTCCATGGACAGTGATTTTACCATGTTTCCTTGACTCTGACACAAAACTCTCTGACGAAACTCACTTATAATAGAAGCCAGTTGGCAGTTGCTAAATTCTGAGAATAAAATGTGTGACTATAAAATAAGAATTAAAACTACAACTTTTACACTGTGACAGTACAGATGTAAGAAAAGTCAGCTAACCATTAGAGTTTAACAAATGGAAAAGTAAATTAGGAATTGTGATAAGCAAACTGCTCTCATCAGCTGTTCTCTAACATCATATGTTCTCACATTTAAGAACTATGAGAAATCTGAATTTCTTGGTCCACCAGAGGGCAGTAAAGAGCCGCTATCTTACGCTTTGGTTGGAGTTTCTTAAATATGACATTTTTTGCAAATTTCAGTGCACAGTTTGTATTTATTTGCTGAGTTTAAAATAAAATGTCAAATTCAGCAAATAAACAGTAATTGTGCATTAAAATTTGTTAACTTATGTACAAAAACATGACCACACGTCAAATTTTTAAAAACTATAACAAGCATAGTAATTCTGTCTGAAATTGATTCTGAGTGTGACATTGTGTCCATTTTTCCGTTTTACTTTCCTTTTCCACCGTCTTCCTAAATCCACGGAGTGTTTAAAAAAAAAATGTCTGATTTGGTGTGAAGATTCCACTGCATCTAAAAATCACATCTGGTTTTTGTGTCTGAATAAAATCTGAATCTGGGAATGCCACCAGTTTTTCAGACAAATTTGCATAATTCACTTGTTAAGATGTAAACAGAATCATTCTGTGGTTTGGTGTGAAATGGTTCAAATTTCTTTACAGTGGTCGTGATAATTAATGACTAAAAAGTGTGGTAAATCTGCAATATATATATATATATATATATATATATATAATTAGGCTAAAATCTTCTCAAGCCCACCATAAAAAAGTATCTCAGGCACCAGGCAGTGAATTCATAACCTTTTCGTTTAATGACTTTCTGTGAGGGAGCTTTTAGAGGTGGACGTCTGGTTCCCATCACCACCACTCTGAACAATTCTGACTCAGTAAGTTTCTCTAAAACAGAGCATTTCACACCAAACCACTCTGAATGACTTTGTTTACATCTTAAACATTTAATTATGCAGAAATTAGGATCGAGTTCAGGGAAACATATTGAATTTATTGTCTGTGGTAGCTGACAGTACACTGTAGGTGCGCTGGACTGAGATTATGTTGAGAAATGCTGTATTCCTTTAAGCCCCCTGAGACACTCATACAGAAATACAGAGCGTGCTGTATGAGGCCCTGCTGTGGCGTTTCTCTGTCTGTGCGTTTGTCTGCCGGTTTTGAGTGGCAGAAGCAGCTGGATTTGGCTTTGTTGCTGTACTGCACTGAAGTGCTTGTAGTGGTTGTGGTATGCAGCCATAGGACTGAATCATACACAGACACTCCTGTGGGACCTGCTGTGTGACCTTGGCTCTGTCACTGTGTGTTTCCAGTATTAAGGCCGGTGACCTCTGCCGCCTGTTACACTCCTGTCACATCGCTTGAGTTGTATTATACTGTACTCTCTATTGAATCAGTGATATTATGTTGGGGAGGGCGGGGCACAAACTAACGGGATAAAAATATAACATGGATTTTTTAGTGTAGTTAAAAAGGTTCAGTTAGAACGTGATTTTGGTGCACGTAGCATCATCAGACAGATATTTCCTCAGATTCATCCTGAAGTCAAGTTGTTTTCATCCCAACTATTTTTGATTACTAAGTCACTTTTTTTAGCCACTTTCACTGAATTGTTCACAAATGATAGGTTTTTGCCCCCAACCCTTCTTGGGAGTGTATTATGTTTCGGATGCTCACGTACATCATATGAACATTATAGCTACAGTGCACCTTTGTTTTTAAGCAGACAAGCTTGTGGGAACTTGTTTCAGCTCTGAATCAATGGTGACTGTTAGAGCTGGGCCTTCAGGTCGGCCAATAAATGTCAAAACAATATGAAAATACAGCCCATATGGTCTACACAGCTTAACATATTGGACAAAAAAATATAAAATGTGCCATAACTTTTGCACAGGCCAGCCCCCTCCCCTCAATATGTCAAATACAGCCAATAAACAGTAATTGTGTGTTAAAATCTACAGAAGTGTGTTCTAGACAATGTGTTCACTTATATTCAACAAAAACACGTCTTTTGCGTATGACGGTGTTTATTATGTACGTAACTGATACATGATTCACAGTCCATTCTGTGTGTCCACCTCGTGTGATTCTGGACCTCTCAGTGTACTGTCCTCATCTCCTGTCTGCATGTGTAGGTGGCTGGACGTAAAGGTTTCCCCCATGTGATCTACGCCCGCCTGTGGCGCTGGCCGGACCTCCACAAGAACGAGCTGAAACACGTCAAGTTCTGCCAGTACGCCTTCGACCTCAAATACGACAATGTTTGTGTTAACCCCTATCACTACGAGAGGGTGGTCTCCCCGGGCATCGGTGAGTCTATCACTCCGCCTCTACTTCACTATTAAATTAGGAAAAAATAAATAAATAACTGAGTAGGAAAAAAGATGGAATTAAAACAAAGAAAAAAGTTTTGAACTATTGTGTAATTTTGTAATGTACATTTGTTACTCCGCAGCTGATATTGTGTCTTATGTTACACAAAATGTGTCCATGTTTATTTATAATAATATAAAATTTTATTTTTTATAATAATATAAAAATTGTTAAAATGGGACAAAATGTACATCAGTTCACTTTGGTGGGGCTGCTAAAACGCCGTCGTAGGGAGCCCCACCAAAAATTTTAATAATAGACTTTGAGAATAAAGACATAATATTTTGAAAATAAAGTTGTATTTTTTAGAATAAAATTGTAATATTTTGAGAATAAAGTCATATAATTTCGTTAATAAAGTCGTAAAGTTACAAGAATAAACTCACGATATTTTGAGGATAAAGTGGGCGAATCGTAGGGGGGGCGTACCGCGTTGGGGCCTCGGTTGCTGTAATGGCGAGGACGAAGACGCAGCACGCCGGGGTTCCACTCACTCCTTCTTAATTGATCATTTTGATCATCATCCTCGTTGTCTCCTGTGAAAATACATGCCCTCTTTGAATGGCACAGAGATGTAGCCACTGATAGCCGTGTAGACGACCCTGCCTGCAAGTTCTCCTTCAACAAAACAGACAGACAGTTTCCTCCGAGTCCGTCTGGCTCTTTATTCTAAATAAACACAGTTTCCTGCTCAGCCGGTTCAGCCGTTTCTTATACTAATAACAGGCTGGTGCTGATGTGCAGGAGAGACAGGGAGACTGAGTGTTTCTTTGTGGGTGAAATCGATATGAAAGTGTAACTCCACCAACTCACCGCCCCTCATTTAACACGAGGAGGTGCTGCCTTCCTTTTGCAAACCCTTGGCTACAATATTGAGGCTTTTCCTGGAAATGTCCCACTTTAATGTCATAATTCTGTGACTTTATTCTCGAAATATTATGACTTATTCTCACAATATACCGTACGACATCTCGAAATATTACAACTGTATTCTTGAAGTCTACTGTTTTATTTTTTTTTTTAACAGCGGCCCTAAATTGCCGTTGTACTGCACAATTATAGCCTGTGTGTGAGAAACACTGTAGTAGCTGATCAGCCATGTTTAGTGTCTGAAGTTTACTTCTTTAATGTTGCACTGGAGATACAAGGCTAATGTAGCCAACAAGCCTAAAATTTAAGGCCTAGACTCTACACTTTCCAAAGACTTTCTCTGCTTGTCAGTAAGCTAATTAAATGTAGAGCTATGGCAAAAATATATCATCACAACATTTTAAGAAGTTTTCATGATATACAGTAAGTCTCAATTTGTTTTTTTGGTAAGTTGGAACAAAGTAGTGTAACATTTAAAAAAATACTTAAAAAAACAATGAATCCACTGATTTGTATTCAACATTTCACACAGATATTAAACAGGACTAATGATGCTCTTTCTGATCAAACATGTAGTTGGAAAGTGTTTTTTAAGTACTAATGATATTCACAGTATACTCCGAAATCTCCTTGTGACATTGTGATGTAATTTATCAACGATAAATATTGTCATATTGATCAGCCCTGATGGAATGCATATTAAAAATGTAAGAAGAAGCTTTAAAGTACTGCGTAAAAATACTGGCGTCAGCAAGATGTTTAGATTTGGCTGGTATTTCAGGCTGATATTTGATGTGTTCTTGTGCTCTGGAAGAGCAGAATGTTTAGGTGACTCTGGGTTACTGTGCCCAAAAATCAGCATGTTACTCATTTTACAGCAATAAATGTTATATTTTTCTGTAATGTTAAAGCAATGTGTGGACATTCCATGACAAACAGACCAATAGAAATGTTCCAAAATCACTTGGAGTAAAACCTCTTTACATTAACTTGCATTGAAAGATAAGAAGATTTTTGCTTTCTCCTGTAAACTATTTTGGAGATACATGTTCTTCTTTGGACGTTTATGTTTATGTTTATGTGCCAGCATCAGCAGGTATGTACATGTATATGAAAAGCCTCGGATATTGGCACTGCCACATAATTCACATTTACAGTACCACAAATATGACCTGTTTGGCATCTGAAGTTTGTGAGAAGGAGGAAGACTCATCTTTACTGTGGTGTTCTATGGAGTGGGTGGAGTCTATTTAACCTTTTTCTTATTTCTCCCTTTCTCTCAAGTGGGCCTCAGTCTTCAGAACACAGGTGAGTGGCTGCAATTTCCATTAATCATTGTCCTAAAATAGGATGTTTCTGTTTGGTGAGGTTATTTCACACAAACAGCGCAGAATTTCATCATCCTTTCCTCCCCGTTACGGCTGTTCTGGGCTGCAGGTCCCTCCGGCAGGCTGATTAAGGAGGAATATATCCATGACTGTATTCAGATGGATGTTCCGCCAGGTTTGCCTCCGCAGCCCGACCACCAGGGGGCGATGAAGCTCCCTCCTCCGGAGCACTACAGCCAGCCGCTGCCACCGTTACAGCTGCCACCTGAACCTCCTCGGGGCCCCCCGCCCGTCACACTTTACCCCAACATGCCTCTCTCACCCACCGGTAAGGATGCTACTTTGGACATGATGTAGAAAATGTGTTTTTGGACTTTGGAAAGCTATTTTTGTGGTGGGCTGAGGACCAAAGGACAAAAAATATACAAATAGAGAAGATAGATGGGTTTAAAATCAGGTAAAGATGTATTTTTTAACAATACACTATATTTTATTTTTAAAATACTTCAAAAAATGCCAGTTTACAATGAAACTAAGGACTAATAAATTATTAACAGTATGAATTGGGTGATGGGGGCAGGATAAACAACAAGGCAGCTCTGCTAAAGACCAAATCAGAATTTTAGTACACGTTAAGGTTGGCTGTACTTCTCTGTTGATAAGCTCAGTTTGAAGTGGAATTCCATCCATTTTTAAAATTTCCGCATAAATAAATTATTAAGATGTAAACAGAGTCATTCAGAGCGGTTTGGTGTGAAACGCTCTGCTCTTGAGAAACTTACAGAGTCAGAATTGTTCACAGTGGTGGTGATAGGAACCAGACGTCCACCTCTAAAAGCTCCCTCACAGAAAGTTATAACATGAAGTGGTTATGAATTCACTGCCTGATGTCTGAGAATGTTTTATAATAGTTTTGAGAAGATTTTGGAGTAAAACATTTTAAAAATCCATTTATGGTGGAGGGATACATGCAGGGAGTTGTGAGGCAAAAAAGTTCCCAAGGATTTATTGCTGTTTTACCATCATCAACATTCCATATAAAAGCTCAGAAGACACATGTAGGTTCACAGGTGGTTTTGGATGGTAAATAAAATGGCTATATTTGTGTTGTAGTCATGGCGACCCCTGGTTCCTATCACCACCACTGTAAAGACATCTGAACCATTTCACACCAAACTGCTCTGAATGACTCTATTTACATCTCAACCACTAAATTATTCAAAATTTATAAAAATGTGGTGGAGTTCTCCTTTATTAGTGGTACAGATAAACTGACTGAACCAAAACATTGACAATAATGGTATTATTGTGTTGTTTGCGAGGCTGTAATGTCAAATTTACCAAAGTAAATAAAGGATTAAGCTTCATTTTTGTCCACTCTGAGTGAGGCTACGTTCACATTACCGTGTTGAAGTGGCACAAATCTGATTTTTTGCCCTAATGTGACTCAGATCTGATGTTTTCAGGGCTGTGTGGAGACACAAATCTGATCTTTTCAAATCCGACCTTAGCTGCTTTGATATGTGGTCCTAGATCGGATACGTATCTAATTCGTAGCCATGCGACCTTAATGTGGCGCTCAGATCGGAATTCACGTGCTTTTTTCCACTGTGCTGCTCCATCATTCAGCGTTACCATGGCAGCAGCGCCGAACAGAAGTTAAAGCCTGTAAACGGTGGAAAAGCAGCTCATCTCACCTTTTCCTCCTTCGTCTCGCTCTAATAATGAAGCTGAGAGCTGATCAGAGTTAATTATCTTCTCAGCGAAGCTCGTTCTGCTCGTTAGTTTGTGCTGATGATGAACGTGATTCATTCACGTGACGTTACTGAGTAGGATGTGCTCACGAGGGTCATTTCAGGACACCGGTTCGTCCACATTAATGACGGATTTGAATCACTTACCTAAACGAGTGTGAACCATCACGTCAGAGAGATCGGATTTGAGCAATGAGGCTTGTAATGTGAACGAGTCTCCTTCAGTTCCAGATTGCTCACTAATTCTTACGGGGGGGGTGTTTAGATGTGGCCGATATGTCGGACTGATATTGGACGATGTATGTACCGTAGAGTAGAATGTTTAGGTGACACTGGGTTACTGCACTAAAACATCTGCATTTTATTTATTTTACTGCATTTGTAACAGAAATAATATTATAATAATCTTATTTTTCTCCATAATGCTGATCCAGGTTGTTTAGTCCCAGTTTCTATGTTTTATGTTTATGCATTGACATCAGCAGATAAATAAATACAAAAATATCGGCTGTCAGCATCAGCCCACAGTTCCCACATCAGTGCACTGTAATTTCGAGACATGGGGGACCTCAGAGAGTTTGCGTAATGGTTTCAGAAGAAGATGAAAGAAGGCTCTGCTTTCTGATGTGTTGTTTGGTGCGACAGGCCGAGCGCTAAGAGATTTTCAGATTGAATTTCAGCAGCTTCCGCGCTCAGCAGGCCAACTGTTCTCCAGTCCTGTTTCACCAAATTCAGTGTCGTCTTTTATCTTGTCCCTACAGCTCTTCCCCTCTCCTCTCTCTCCACACCGACAGATATAAACTTCATTAATCAAGGTTACAGCAGCAGCAGAACCTGTTAAAAGACTCTCTCTCTTTCACTCTCTCTGTCGTCCTCTCTCTCTCTCTCGCTCTCCTTTTTTCACTCTCTCTCGCTGTCTCCTTCTCTCTTTCCCTCTCTCCCTCTCTCGCTCTTGCTCTCTGTCTCTCTCTGTCTCCCTGTCTTCCTCCCTCCCTCGCTCTCTTCTTTTTCTGCTCTTTCTGACTCTCTCCCTCTTCCTCTCTCTCTCTTGCTCTCTCTCTCTCTCTTTCCTTGTCTCTGTACCTCTCTTTCCCTCCCTCAATCCCTCTCTTCTTTTTTTGCTCTTTCTGACTCTCTCCCTCCCTTTCCCCTCTCTCTCTTGCTCTCTTTTTGTCTCCTTCTGTCTCGCTCCCTCCCCCTCTCTTTCTTTCTTTGTTTCTCTACCTCTCCTTCTCTCTATCTCCCTCTCTCCCTCTATCTCCCTCCCTCTGCATATCTACCTTTCTCAATCTCTCTCTCCTACTCTGCCTCTCTCTCTCTTTCTCTTTCTTTTTTGCTCTCTCTCTCTCTCTCTCTCTCTCTCTCTCCATGTATCCCTCCCTCCCTCTCTATCCCTCTGTCCCTCTTTTGTCCTCCTTCACTCTTTCTCCCTCTCTCCCTCCCTCTCTGTCCCTCTTTTGTCCTCCTTCACTCTTTCTCCCTCTCTCCCTCCCTCCTTGTCCCTCTGTCTCTCCCTCTTTATCCCTCTGTCCCTCTTTCGTCCTCCTTCACTCTTTTTCCCTCTCTCCCTCCTTCTCTGTCCCTCTGTCCCTCTTTCTTCATCCTTCACTCTTTCTCCCTCTCTCTCTCTCTCCCTCTTTCTCTCCCTCTGTCACTCTTTCATTCTCTTTCACTCTTTCTCTCTCTCTCTCCTTTTCTGTCCTTCTATCACTGTTTCTTTCTCCTTCACTCTTTGTCCTTCTCTCCCTCCATCTCTTTCCGTCTGTCACTCTTTCCTTCTCTTTCACTTTTTCTCTCTCTCTCCCTCTCTCTCTCTCTCTCTCTCTCTCTCTCTCTCTCTCTCTCTAGCATCTGGCTCTATGTTGCCTATGCAGGGTGGTCACAGCGAGGGTCTTCTGCAGATTGCATCTCCCCAGGCTCAGGTCATGACCCCCACACCACCCCCCTCCACACCCACTCACGGACCCCCCCAACCTCCAGCCCCCCAACAGCCTCCTCCGAATCAGAACGGCTACAACGGCTCCAAGCACACGCAGAGCCAGGGCTCCTTCCACAGTGAGTAACTCACATACAGCACTGAGCAGTTTAAATATATCTTACTAACAAAATGTCATTAATTCATTCTTAGTTTATGTGCCTTTTCACTCACGGACCCCCTATATTTTACTTTGAGGCCCACTTATAACATTTTATGCTTTTATGCACCAAAAATGGTCGTCATTATTTTTACATGACCTCTCTTTATCCCTTAGAATTAAAGAGACTTTTTTTGTTACTGTGTCCTTAAGACTGATATATGTAAACGAGCTCTGTTCTGATTGGCTGTCCTGTATTGTACCTCATTCGAAAAGCACTCAGAGTTGAAACACTCCTTATAACTTCAGTGAGAGTGGGTGGGGCTAACTGAACTGCTGTAGGTGTAACAGGTTTTTATGTAGGTCAGTTGCTTATATTTCTAAAGATTATTAATGGCCGCTAAACCAACATTAAATGCTGTTTGGACTGTAAAGTCTACCTTATTCCTGCGCCCATGATCCTTTGAGTGACAGAATGTCCAGCAAAGTGTAGACAGACAGTAAGTTACATGCTTATGAAGTCCTAACATGATAGAAATGTGGATTAAATAATGATAAAAATAATCTTTATTGTTGGGATGTTCGAATGCTTGGTGCTGATGTTTGAAATCAGTCTGTTAAATGATATTTTAACCTGCATGAAAGTTACAGATCCTGTTTAAAACCTTTATAGCAAAGTACTCAAACTAATAAAGTCATTTCTTTCAAGGTACAGGCAGAAAAACAGAAAGTAGTGCCGCTACACAGCAATGTCTAATGCAGAAATCTGTTCTTAAACCAGCACTTTAATAGTGCTCTTTAAATGCTCTACGGTCTGTTAGGGTCAAGCTAGCAGGGTTAGCTCGGCGCTATATTGGATTTTCATGTCAGCTTCAGTTTCAGTACAGACAATTTAAGCTCATAACAGACATGCAAGTAACATTTTTTTTCTTTGTATGTATATTTTTCAGTCTTGAACTTAAAGTCTGTCTTTTATTTTAGTAGCGTTAGCCTGTTAGCCGGTTAGCTTACCTGCTCTGCCTGCTCTAGTGAGGGCAGAATGTAGCCAGTTGTAAAGAGAATAAAAAGGGTAAAGCAGTTAAAGAGAGTTTGTTAGCAGCAACCAGTGATGGTTAAATGACAGTCTGTCATTGGCTGCAGTTTATGAGCAAATATTTCAATGCTAGGCTTTTTCATGGAGTCATTATGAAGCCACATTCTCATGTCTGCTGAAGTGCTGTATTTTTATGCTTGTAATTCCTGCAAACCGCACATTGTCTCAGAAACACCTCAGAGACATTTACTGGGAAAAAATAGCTTAAATGATAAGCAAACATTGTCTGACTTCACTAAAAACAGTGATGATCGGCTGCTATGATGCTGCTCCTCCGACACAAACCAGCTCACCTCTGTCACACACTGCGTTATCTCACCGCATTGCTGTGATCCGATGCACAGGCTCTGAATTCAGTGCGTCTTATATTTGACAGTAGATTGAGATATTTATCCGGGCACCGGGCTTTTATCTGTTCTGAAAAAAATATTATTATGAATAATAATAAAATAAGGATTTGATGTGGATGTTAGCTTAACCATTTTTCAAAGCTCTCCTTGAGAAAGTCCAGCATTCAGTGTTACCATCCAACACATGGTTTATCTACTTTTTGAACTTTCTCAGACTTTTGGACAGTGTGGTACAGTTTCTTAGCCATCACATTGAGCTGGACTTGGTCCGTGTGTAAGGTAGGTGACCTCTTCTGTTCGCTGTTTCAGCTACATGGACAGGCAGCAGCACGGCCTCCTACACTCCCGTAGGACCCCAGCAAAACAGCCGCGGTCACCAGCCCCCTCTACACCACCCCCACTTCTGTAAGTGGAGCTGCAGAAACACAGAACTGATCCTAAGCTTAACTCTGGCTGTTTGTAAACTGCCTGTCTGAAGTTTGAGGACCCCTTGCCTTCTTTTGAATACAGATGTGGTCACTGTAACTTTTCAGTTTTCTAAGAAATAACATTTTTTTAAAATATACAGCAGCAGCTCTCACTCAGATATCCTGTTTAATGTTCAATATGTTACAAAATTTCTTATGTGACGTTTCAAAATGACAAAAATGCAAATTTGTTTAAAAGGCCTATATCTTATATTTTTCTTGTATTTCATTCTTAGATCTTGATGTCCACTTACTGTGCGGTTTTATGTACCAAAAATGGTTATAATGAATTTTTCCATGACCGTTTTTACTACCGGTGTCCCTTAAAATTAAGCAGGCTATTTATGTTACTTTGCCTTTTAAGACTGATTTATGTAAATAAGCTCTGCTGTGATTGGATGTGAAGCATTCAAAAAGCGGTTTGAGCTGAAGTGCTCCTTATGACATCAGTGTGAGTGGGTGGGACTAAACTGCTGTAGGCTTTGTAGGTGGACATATGTAAATAAGTTGATTCTCGTGACATCACAGAAACATCGAATTTAAAACAGGCTGCAGCTTAGCTTCCATATATGGGATGTATGAGCTGGGGAGCGAACGGTATGTTTTTATAAACTTTAGCAATGTTTACATATTGATTCAAGCTTCTTTATTTAAAAAAACCAAGGGAATATTGTTTTTTCCTTTATATGGACCCTTTAAAAAATGTTTTTTTAATGTTTTGGAACTTTAAAGCCGTTTATTTTGCAGTACAGTGATGATCTCATCACCTGGGTGATCTTGGGTGATGGTACATGTTTTTGCTGTATAGTGATGGTATTTTCTCTGTTGTATGATTATCAGGGTCTCAGCATCACAGTTCACCTTCATTCCCTCCTCCAGTCTCCAACCATCCAGGTACAGAAACCTCTTCCTGTATTAAAGTCAGCACAAATGGGGAAATATAACTTCTCCTTCTGTCCTGTGACGTGTTTGTGAGTCAATCACGGTGTCGGGGGGGTCTCTGAGCTAGCTGAGCGTTTTCTCTCCATGATAAGTGGGGGTGGAAGGGTGGGGTGAAACATGATATAATTGGACAGTATTAGAAAGTTCAGTTTTGATTTCAGGTTTACTTTAAGCCCATTTTTGAGAATGTTAAAGTGACAGTTTGTCAGAGAAACAATGACAGAAAAAAAAAACAGTGTGCACAGTTTCAGTTAGCCAAGACATGTTTGGTTGCTTCTTTAGTTTTGCACTTGAGCTATGAGGCAAATGTCGCTAATAGGTAATGGAACCTTATACCCCACCAATTAGCATGGTGCTAACTGCATGCCTAAAACATTACACAATCACCCCAAACTGTATCAGGTTTTTAGATAATCTCTAATAGACTTACATTGTAGACTCTTCTACTAATATCTAAAAATAATTTGCATAATATTTTATGGTTAAAAAATCATGATTATCGATTTTATCGCCCCCTCCTGAGCTATGGAACATACATAACATGACAGATAACATTTTAAATGTAAGCTTTATGCCAGAATTCTCCTTAACCTGTAGGCAGTGCTGATAGGTGGGCTTTACTTTTACTTCATTAACCTAGTAGCTCCAGTGTAAAACTAAAGAAGCAACTCTGCAAAGTTGATTTTGTGCTGAACTATTGCTTTAAACCATTTTTGTGTTCGCAGGGCCGGAGTTTTGGTGCTCCATCTCCTATTTTGAGATGGATGTGCAGGTGGGTGAGATGTTTAAGGTGCTGTCCAGTTGTCCCATTGTGACAGTTGACGGTTATGTGGATCCGTCAGGAGGAGATCGCTTCTGCCTCGGCCAGCTGAGCAACGTCCATCGCACCGACGCTAGCGAGAGGGCCAGGTCTGTGCTCCTTACGTCCAGCTGTTTATGTCTATGTTTCACAGGTGCACATCTCTGACTGTGATGATTTGATTATACGATGCATTTACATGCTCTTAATAATCTGATAACTGCACAAAGCCAGACTTTGTCAGTAATCCGATCAATGCATTTACATGCACTTGGATAATCAGATAATGGGAAAACTCTGGATCTACATGAGTCAGGCAGTAATCGGACCAGCCAAAAACTCACAGATGAAGATGTGACGTAAGCGTAATGTAAAACTCAAACTGCGTGACACAAAAAAACATCGCGCCACTTTGCCTGAAAATATGAACGTGCATCATCTAGAAGATGGAAATTTAAATCATTTAAATTTAAATGTAGTTGCTTTCAGCGTCACTCCAAAAGCATTGAGCTGCATCTCGCAGAAGTGCTACTTGCTTATTTCCGCTACCACTGTCTGTTTCACACATGCGCAGTCACAGAAATCTGAAAGAAATCAGAATAAGAGTTACATGGACTGAGAAATCTGACTACTGAGCTAAAATCCAGCTCTCTTTATTGGATTTCTTAATCGGATTTCTAGACCTTACTCCAATCTAAGAAATGGGAATATAATGTTTACATGACCATTTGAATAATCAGATAAATGCAGATATCTGACTATGATCGGATTATCACACTCAGTGATTTGATTTGCTTATGATTCTTTGGTAAATCATTAAGATGGATGGAAATGAAAATTCGGTCCCACTTTATATTGTGTCTCTGAGAACTTTGTAGTTACACATTAACAATGCATGCTACATCAATATAAGTACTGCTGTATAGTTTGTCTATATATATATATATATATATATATATATATATATATATATATATATGGATTGCAGTAGTGGAGCTTATATAAATACACATGTATCTCAACTTTTCAGGTTTTGCTCATGTAATTACATGTGTAGCTTAATAGTGGTGACAGGAATTTTGGTTTGGTTATTATGTCACAGCACAAGCATACTAATACAGCTGGCTAAATGTTGGGAAAGTTGGCATTTTCTTTGCAGATGCAGTGAAAGCGCTTTCATAATGTATGATTGAACGTCTCCTGTCACAGTCAGACAAGTCTTGTTGGAAGAACAGCAGTTCATACACACGTGTAATCAGTTACATATAAGAAAATATGCTCTTACAACTATCAATTACATGAGTAAAAAAACTGAAGTTGATGCTACTGTAATCAATCTGTAACAGTAAATATATCACCAGTACTTACTTAGTTGTTGCCGTTATTGTTAAGGTGTAACTACACAGTAATTAGAGACATTTAACATAAAGTGGGCCTGAAAATTCTTTACCAAAACCGGAATTTAGAGCACACTCGTACTGTAAACTGAAAGAAAGGGTTATTTTGTGTATAATCTGCCATTTTATTTAGGCTTTTGAATTAACATAATAATGCTGACAGTGCCTTAAAGGCAATAATCACTATGTTGGGAAAGAGATCTGAGAGAACTAGAGGACTAGTTTAAACTGCTCAGTAAATAATATTAAAGATGAAGAGTTTCCAAAGGCATCTAAGGCTGAATCCAGAGCGACTTGGCTATGATGATGGAAAACACCTTGTTTTTTAATATGTAAAGCACGTGGATGTGGTCTAGTGATCTGACGTTTCTCCAACGTGAAGCGCTATTAGTGAGCAAGTGACTTTAGTGTTCATCATTTAGAGAAAGAACAGTCGTGAACCCACACCAGCAGGATCTAAGAAACGCAGGTTTACAGTAACAGAAGTAAAAAAGTTCTTCATTAAATCCAAATTCATGAAATATTAATAAATTAATCAAGACGTGTCGCTCTGTTGCAGGTTGCACATCGGGAAAGGCGTGCAGCTGGAGTGTCGGGGTGAAGGAGACGTGTGGATGCGGTGTATGAGTGACCACGCTGTGTTCGTCCAGAGTTATTACCTGGACAGAGAGGCAGGGCGAGCCCCAGGGGACGCTGTGCACAAAATCTACCCAGGAGCCTACATCAAGGTCAGAAGCACAGGAGCCTACATCAGTATTATCCAGTGCAGTGGATAATATTCAGCCCGCTGTGAATCTTTTCATATGCAGTGGCCATCCAGTTTGGGGACACATAGCTTTTTAACACGTGATTAATACAAATGAGCATAAGTCATGCAATGACTTATTAAAGGCTAATCTGGTTTATTTAGAAGAAAACAATATCACACATGTAAACATCAGTGAGAGAGTTACACTAGTGCTACACTAGGAATAAAGCCAGAGGTCTGTCATTGTATCCTCTTGTTGTGATGTCAGCACTCATCAGCAGTCAAACCTTTCAGCTATTTAAACCTCCTTTGGGCCAAAAGAGTTTCAGTAAAAGCTTTTAACAATAGTTTGGAAAAGAAAACTGTCAAATTGTTATGTAAAAGCTGCTCTTCATACCAAGGAAGACACTTGGATGAACATGAAGCTGAGAGTTTATGATAAATATGCACAAAGCTTTAGCACAGAGCTGCTTTATGGTAATTTAAATCTTCTTTCTTACTTAACCCTTGTGTGGTGTTGATGTTGTTGTTACTCAGTGGTCTTTAAATCAATACAGCCATAACAATTTATGTAAAAATTGTTTGATATTTTAAACACCAGATGTTTAAAATATCACATATGGCCAGCGTAGGGTTCTCCTTTAGCAGCTGTAGGCAGTCAGCAGCCTGTCCATGTTGTCCACCCTCACACACACACACACACACACACACACACACACACATACACACATACAAATACATACACACAGACACACACACACTAACAGCAGGCCATGTAGGAGGAGAACAGAGTAAGGGACACAGCACCTCCACACTTTTACTCCCCGCAGGTTCACCCAACACCACATGTGTAATATAAATGTGTGGGGGGTGAACAGAGTGAAGACACTGAATGCGTTATTTTATACGTTCTTCACAGAAAATGAGCAAAGGCCAAGAAATCTGAGGTTGAAATAAAAACAAATCGCATCATTTTCTCTCTTGGTAAACATTGAAAATGGGTCTCACAGACCTGAACACCACACAAGGGTTAAAGAAAAAAGAAAATGCAAGATAAATGTGGAATGTGGGCCCTTTAAGTTTTTAGGTGTGGGTTAATTAAAAATCAAAATTTAGGAGGAGGCATGTTGTCCCCAAACTTTTGAAGGGCAGCGCGGCAAGCCTGTGTGTGTATTTTTCAATGCTGTCACATTAGATTTGTTTTAGCCACAGCTTGGTTTTATTAAAGCCTGTCCAAACAGCTCCCTGTCACAGCTCTGTGTTAGGAGACTGGGGTCTTAAAGGCATTAAAAGCAATGTTTGTTTGGTGCTGTGTGATGTGGTGGTGATGTGCGGGTGCAGGTGTTTGACCTCAGGCAGTGCCACAGGCAGATGCAGCAGCAGGCAGCCACAGCTCAGGCAGCAGCGGCGGCTCAGGCGGCCGCGGTGGCCGGCAACATCCCGGGTCCAGGCAGCGTCGGGGGCATCGCGCCTGCAGTCAGTGAGTATTCGAAGAACGTCACATTACACCTGTAGATCTAAACCCTGTGGATCTGAGTTATACAGTTAGAAAGGCTACATAATGCAAGATAATATTATAATGATATTAATTATGTTAATGACAATAATAGTAGATTTTAGCAGTTAGGCTGCTAATTCTTCACTGCTGCATTGATGCGGCCCGGTACAAAACAATCCACTGCCAGGTGCCGGTCGGGGGCGCAATGCAAAACGATCCAATGCCAGGTGCCGGTCGGGGGCGCAATGCAAAACGATCCACTGCCAGGTGCCGGTCGGGGGCCCGGTGCAAAACGATCCAATGCCAGGTGCCGGTCGGGGGCCCAGTGCAAAATGATCCACTGCCAGGTACCGGTCAGCAGCCCGGTACAAAACGCCCTATCGTCAGGAGATCGTGAGTTTGATTCCTGGTGACGCTACAGCAATCCGTGGCCAGGAGTCCAAGAGAGTCCTCGCTCTTTCTGAGTGGGTAGGATGGCCCCCTGGTTTCCCCCCAGCACTCAGCACGATGCTAGCCAGCACAGGTGTCTGTTAGCTGACACAACAGAACAGGCGGTTGGCACTTTCCTCCGAACGTGTTCAGCTGTCCAATGACATTGCATTAGTGGCAGTCCAGAAAGATGCAATGGTGCTTCACAGGTCTCAAATGAAGACTGTGCTAGCTTTCGCCCTCCTGGTGGTATCATGTGATTGAGGGGGTCCTAACTAGCAGGTGAAATTAGATGCATCTAAATTGGGGAGAAAATTGGGGAAAAAAAACCCTGAAATTCTCAATATAACTTCTCCGGATATCCAGTCTTTGTTGGGGCTGAAAACCATCATTCCACATTATTCCATTCTCAAATGAACGGAACATCTTTAAACTATGTAATGTTATACCGTATGTTTATGATACTGTATGCTTTCTAATCAAAGTATTAAACCAGCTTTCTTGGAAAGAAAACCAAGCATGCAAACCAGGCCACAAAACCAATTCATTAAAAAAACACCTGTAAAGTGCACCTATATGGTAGTAAATAAATATAAAAAGAAATTAAATAAAATAAAATGAAGTATGTGGTCTGTGCAAAAGTTATGACATTTTATTTTTTATGTTTTTTCCCCCCAAATATATATGGCCGTATTTATGCCATTTATATTTATAAGTTTGCTCTCTGGACGTTTAATTTCCACTATTCCCTGGAAATTTGTTGACATTTAAGTTTACTCCCTGGTTTTCCCAATAACCCCAAATCTGCCATGGCACGTATGATGTCCAATGTTAGCTTATATACAGCCGTGTGTAAAACTTTGGCTGCCCTGGTCAAATGACATGTTTTTGTTGATGTTCTTAGAGAAAATAAGTGAACACTTCCTCTACAGAGAACACACTTCTGCACAATTACTGTATATTTGTCGAATTGACAAAAAAATAAAATAAAATAAAACGTAATGTGTGGCCTGTGCAAAGTTTATGGCACATTTTTATTTTTTATGTTTTATTTTTTCCGAATATGCTAAACTCAGCAAATAAATATATATGGCCCTGTTTATACTTATTTGTAAGTTTGTTCCCTGGACATGTTCATTTATTTTCACTTAATCACCAATTCATGTCAGCTGACCAGGGGTGTACAAAAATTTGCATACGACTGTATGTAGTACTGAGCAAAAGTTATAGACACCTGAGAAAATAACACTATTATTACAATACTAGCACAAATATTACAATAAATACAGATAACATTAATGCAATAAGTAGTGGTTTTAAGTGTGACGATGTGGTTGTTTAGCCATTTCCAAACCTCTCCTCGAGGACGCACGGTATAATTGGCATCTGATACCTGTTTTGGCTTCTCAGTGATTCATTGTGTTAAATCAATTGTGCTGGTAAAATCGGAACCAGACTTCTTCAAACTTGCTTGTTTTTTTCAAAATAAGAAATTCGTGTTACTTGTTTGTATTTATTCTAATGTAATAAGTTGTTTTTATTGGCAAAAACACACTTGTTGCCCAGATAAACTCAGTACTGCGTATATTTATCAAAGAAAGACACTTGTCTGCAGGCAAACCACAGATCTGATTCTGCTTCCTCTGCCCTGCAGGTTTGTCTGCGGCTGCAGGAATCGGTGTAGACGACCTGCGGAGGCTGTGCATCCTGCGGCTCAGCTTCGTGAAGGGCTGGGGGCCCGACTACCCGCGGCAGAGCATCAAACACACCCCCTGCTGGGTGGAGGTGCACCTGCACCGCGCGCTGCAGCTGCTGGATGAGGTTCTGCACACCATGCCCCTCGCAGACCCTGGACCTTCTAACTGAGAAGAAGGAGATAAAAGAACACACTAACATACACTTAGGTATACACTGAGTCGCCAGGTTAATCGGATTACCTTGTATCTACACTCGGAGGCCATTTTATCAGAAACACCTACCATATAGGTGCAATTTGCAGGGTTTTTTTTAGTCAATCGGTTTCCTGGTTTGCATTTCAAATATCTTTCCAAGAAAGCTGGCTTCATACTTTGATTAGAAAGCATACAGTATCATAAACATACAGTAATTACTCTTCAGTAATTATGAATAGATCAATACTGTCTGGAAATATTGCTTTAGGCTCAGCTAATCACAAAGTGTTCAATTTTGATTTTTATTTTTAAAAGATCATTTCTTCACTGTTGAGAAAACCGTACTCTATTTTGGTTGTTTTTTTGTATATGTATATCGCTGTTGTCAGGACAAAACCTCGTATCTCCGTTTTTTGACGTTTTTCAGCATTTGATATAATTTGAAAAAACCTGTTGCTCTTTACATTGTATGTAAATTTCATGATGAATGGACTAAAAAAAATGGCCCAAAATGACTGGTTCCATTGACTTACATTAAAAGTAAAGTATGTTTTTTCCTTCTCCTGTAAAGTCACCATTTTGGAGATACCAGGTTTTCTTCCGACAACAGCGATATCATTTAAAAACACCAGCTGCCCTTTACATTGTCACAAAAATTCATAATGAGTGATAAGAATTTTCCAAAATTATCCGGGAAAAAACTTTTTACACTCACTTCCAATACAAGTTCAGAATGTTTTTCCGTCTCCTAAAATGTACTATTTTGTAGATGCAAGGTTTTGTTATGACAGTGAAGATGTACATATTTATATTTATTCTGAACAAAAATATAAACGTTCTACTGAAAAGATTTTACTGAAATTCTGGGTGTGTTGTGAAACAGAATTCCCACATTAGCAGCACAACACATTTCTATGGAACAAGATCTGTATTTTTGTTTTATCAAACTGCTGCCAAATGTGAGCAACACCAAAAGTGGTGCATTTATATCTTTATTGTGTTTAATATAACAGTGATATCTCTATCACAGATTCAAGCAAAATCTGTAGTGTCACCACAAACCACTAGAGGGTTGTGAAACCCTGGTTGGGAAACTCTAGTTCTTCACCAGCGGTCGGTTTCTGGATATTTTTGGGCGGTGAACCACTCTCAACCTAGCAGAGGCAATGAAGTGTTTAAAAATGCCAGCAACACCACCCAAGTAATATCTGGGGAGTGGTGGTCCCATTGTGATCCCTTTCCACTGGTGGACAGAGTATATGACTGTAATTTTATGGCGTGCACCTATATGGTGGGCGTTTCTAATAAAGTGGCCGGTGAGTGTATATACAAGGTGGCTTTATCTAATAAAGTGGCAACTTAGTCTTTATATACGTACACATGGCGACCGTATTTTACACAGACAACACCGGTTTTACTTTTTAATCCTCATCATAATCCGAAATGCAGACCTGTAACTCCTCATTTGAGATCCCTCAAATTCTTGTTTTCCAAAGGTTTTGCCATAGAGTTCTCCTATAGGGATATGCAGATGCATTTCTTTGCAGAATACAGTTATATAATGTACTTTAACACTGCATACCTTCGGATCAATGCAAAAGTTTCCACAGGGTTTATTGCAGATTAAGTTCAGGGAAAATAGCTTTACTGTCCGTACACCTCTCCGAGCTTTTGCACATCACCTGATTATAGTAATAATACAGAGCAGACTGCAGCAGGGTTTGCAATACTTTTAAACCTGTTCCAAAACAATGAATTTAGGGGGATCGAGTGGCAAATCATGTTATTTGTCAGTATGCACACCACACACCGTGCAAAAGTCAGAGACCACCCTTCATTTAATTTCTTGAAGTCAAAATAGGCATCGAGTACAAGTGATTCATTCTTCAGCATCAGGAAATATATTTTATTAACAAAAACTAAATATACATTTTTCAGTATTTAGTGAGTCACTCTTTACCTTTATTCCAGCTTCCATTCTTTTCAGGAGACTTACTATCAGTTTCTCAAAGAATCTGCAGACACACCTCCAGAGTTCAGTGATGTTGAGGTCTGGACTCTAGGGTGGTCAGTCCATTGTTCAGCTTCTTTGTTTGATGTGTCCGTCTCCTTTTCTCAGTGAGGTTCTTCTTGAACAGCTACACATCCTTTCAGACCCACAGCGCTGAGTCGTCTTCTCACAGTGGAAGGATGGACAGAAACACCTGTGGATGTTTTCAGATCTGAAGCAGTTTGATTTTCTCCTCTCTCTCAGAGATGAAAGCTTTAAGTCCTGTTTATCTGATGGGGGCAGTTTTTGGTGTCGACCAGGTCTTCCAGGTGGCTGTTAGGAGGCATATTTCTTCAAATTTTAAACTTCAGTTTTGGAAACTCCTGTTTATCTTTGATAATCAAATGGATTATCTTATATCTAGTCTCCTCAGAAGTATCTCCTGAAAAATGAATAGCTTGTACTTAATGGTTGTTTTGACCGGAAATCAAGTAAATAAAGGGGGGTCTTTGACTTCTGCACAGTATTATACACACACTAAATGATCAAATATAACTGGTATGCGGGTGAACGGGAAGCTGTCACTTTTTGATCGCTTTACACACACGCCAGCGTTGACTTTGCAGGTTCGTTGGCCTTGTGATAATGACCACAGAGCTACTGTTCACGTCAGTGACCTCAGAGCAGGCCAGAGGAGACCAGAGGACCCTAAACGATTAGCGTTAGTGGATCAAAAACTGTTCAGGAACTCAATTGAAACTGTCTCAGACTGGGTCAGACGGATGAAAACAGAACAAACCTCGAAAATCTCACTGTCTCTGTGCTTGTGCTGTGTTCCTCTGTGTGTGGAATCCAATTCCACTCCCTGTGCTCATCATAATGTCTGGCTGACCACTAGGGGTGTAAAAATGCATCATGATCCAATGGCATCGATTTTGATACCATTATAATCAACTATAATGTATCAAAAATGTATGCAATTATTTTTTGGCCCAAATAAACTGTTCAGGCTGCTTTCAAAAACCAGCTGTTAATAATAACTAAATTGATAAAATACTGGGTAAAAATAATTTTAAAAACAGCTTCATGTATTGTTTTTATTGTCTTTATTACACTACAGTGTAATATTTCTACCATTCCTCCAGTCACATTTGATGAGTAAGTAGACATGCATTTTTTTGTGTCCAGTATTTTCCTTTAAAATATTTAGGAAATACATGACAAATACCACGTTAATCTACAATACCTCCTTTATGTGAATGCATTTTCAGTGATTTAGAATTAATTTTTGTTTTTTATACCTCCCGAAGTTTAAAAATGTCAAGTGGTGCGACCGTCCAACCGTATATGCAGATTAATAATTTAAAAAAAAGGTAATTTTATATAAATACTATGTATAGTCTATTTTACAAAGGACTTTTATTTTGGCATGCTTTAAAGAAAGAGCATATTGCAATACCAAGGCCAGAGATTCACAAATATTGGAATAATTGTTTTTGAGTCAAGGCTGACGTCGTTTACCAAGTCATGTGGTGCGACCCCAGGACAAGCATGAACATGTTATTATGAATGTGTTTTTATATATATTTTTTTTTTTTCAAAAAAAGGTCAAGAACAGAGGTTTTTACAGGTCCAAGTGCAAAAACTAGCTCATACACATTTCCAGTAGTTTTAATGAATGTGTGGTTGCACCACTTGATATTTTTTAGGTGGTAAAGTTGAAGATCCTATTTAAAAGTGAATGTATGCCTTTATAAAAGCTATGAAACAAATATGATTCTTGCAGATACGTAACTGTGCATCATGTCCTTTTTAAACACTTTTAAGTTTATTTTTAATAATTTGTACATTCATATTTTCTACAGTTGTTATTTTGAAATTGCTTATTTGTTATTGAACCACTTATGTTTTTAGTGTATTTTTAAGATTAATTCTGAATCGTACTGAAAGAATTGAATCAGACTGAATCAAATTGAGTCTGAGATTTCATGATGCGCTGAATCATTTCCTAAAGAATCATAATCAGATTGAGTTGTTTTGAGACTTACACCCCTACTGACCATCCAGCCATCCTCCTAGCTACACGAGCACAGCCTTCGAGCTTGTTTATTTTCATACCAAAAAAGGACAAAAAAAAAAAAACTAAACAAGTAAGCCGAAATCGTCAGCTTTAAAAATGGTGGTGTTGGTATTTTGTGGTGACGCAGTTTCGTGTTTTCGTAACCAAATCATTTTGCCATGTGGTGTACGATTCACCAAAGCCAGAATACCTCATCATAATTGAGCATGAACCCAATGGATTTACTTTATATGCCAAAATATGTCGGGTAATCTTCATTATTTGCATTCATACACTCACCTCACGCTTTGACCAAATCAGTATTGGGGGGGTCATAAAGAAAAGGGAAAAGACTGTGATGCACCCACTGTTTTAATGCAAACCATGAACTTTTTTGCTTTATGTTTAGTTTCCCAGTGTTTCCAGAGCTCCCTGCACTGTATTCTTTATTTATGACATGCGTACTGTTCAAAGGTTTGGAATTACTCATATTAATATTATATTTCATATGCAATATTAATTTATACAATGTAGATCTAATTGGTAGTGAAACCAAAAGTATTTTAGATGTTTTATTCCATTTCAAGTATTTTGGGAACAAGAACGTATTAAATGGCAAACAATATACTGTCACTATCTACACTACCATTGGAATATCTTATACATTATTATTGTTCATTTATTCAGTAATAATGTATACAGTGTAGCTTGAAGTACTTTAAGCTGTTCACACTATAAGACCACCAAAGCATGCCAACGTAAAAATCCACATAAAAGTGCTCCTGGATTGGCCCAGCTTTTAAACTATCTCAACGGGATATTGGCAAAATCCAAGAAAACAAAGCTAGGAGTGTTGTTTTTCATTGCTTGTACACTATGTGGCCGAAATAATATTGACACCTGACCGTCACGCCTATATGAGCTTGTTGGACACCCCATTCCAAAACAGTGGGCATTAATATGGAGTTGGCTCCTCTTTGCTGCTATAACAGCCTCCACTCTTCTGGGAAGGTTTCTACAAGATGTGTCTGTGGAAATTTGTGTCCATTCAGTCAAAAGAGCATTTGTGAGGTCAGACACTGATGTTGGACGAGAAGTCCTGACTTACACTTAACGTTCCAGTTCAGTAACTGGAAGTAACATCACTCTTCACTGGAACTAAGGAGCCCAAACCCTGAAAAACAGCCCCAGCTCATCATCCCTCCTCCACCAAACTTTACTGTCAGCGCTATGCATTCTGGTAGGTAACGTTCTCCTGGCATCCACCAAACCCAGATTTGTCTATCAGACTGCCAGATAGTGGAGGGTGATTCATCACTCTAGGGAGCGCGTTTAACACTGCCCTAGAGTCCAGTGACAGCGTGCTTTACACCAGTGGTTCTCACCCTTTTCTACCCCAAGGCCCGCCTGTTTATAAATACAAAGAATAGCGGCCCACAGGAAAAAAATACAATTAAATACAATTTTATTTTTTCTTTGTTAAGTGCTGAAACTGAAAACCTGATAATCAGGACCTAAAAAAGATCTGATCGTCCATATTTGTTTAATCACAAGTTGCAAAATTAGCAGTTCTGTTAAAAAATATATATTTGTAAAGATGTTAAAAAAGGGAAAAAGAGCAAAAAGATAGAAATGTACGAGGTGGATGGTGACTGTGATTTGGATCTGGAGTACATCGCTGCGTTTCCCACTGTCTTTGAGACTTGACCTCTCGAGATTTCTTTTAGTTTTGAAGGTATTTGAGATAGCCAAACCACAGTCCACTCACCAGGCTTTTGGATGAGCATTGTCACAATTAACAGTAATAATACTTCACTTTATATGTTTTTCTTTGTCATTGATTTATCAAGTTTAACCACTCACGTCGCTGATGCTCGGCCAAAAAGAAATTAATTCCATTAAGCATTAATTCCAACTTTTGAGTGGTAGTGTATCTGAGTCATACAGTCGTATGCAAAAGTGTGAGCACCCCTGGTCAAATTATATGTTGTTGTTGAAGTGTGAATGAGTGAACACATCCTCTACAGAGAACACACTTCTGCACATTTTAAAAATGAGTTTAAGATTTAACATATTGGGGCCTGTGCAAAAAGTTATGGCACTTTTTATTCATATTCCAGTTCTATAAAATCGGGACAACATGAACAACTTCTGCATGCGACTGTATCCGCAGCTCATGTTTCACAATTAGTTTGAATGAGGAAAACAAGCGACTCTGGAGTCTGGAAACACTGCTCTATGGCATTGTGATAAAGGTATTTCACTTAACATGGAGGGATATTTTTACTGTTTAGGTTGTAACCCGCATCTCTAAACAGCTTTAAAAGCTTTTTGAGCTTTCAAAAATCCGCACTGTAAAAAGTGGCTCTCAGATCTAGAAAAAAAATACTTTATGTGGTAACAAGCAGTTGAACTAGTTTTATTCAGCTTAAAAACTACATTGATTGAAAGAATCGTTCATTCAAAGTATCTATTTAGGAATAAAACTAATTAATTTACTTGTTACTACATGAAGTCATTTTTTAGGTAGATCTAAAGAGCCACTTTTTACAGTGCGAGCCCCATTTAGAAGCTGGTGGTCACCAACTCTTTTCCACAAGGTCTACCTTCTTAGTCCTGCATTTTTCAGCCTAATCTCTATATACTGTTTGATTAATACGAGTGATCATTTTGACACATTTTCTGGTTCTTAGGAAACCCACTGACTTCAAACACACTTACAATGGAAGCCGATCAGATGAAATAACTGTCATTTGCAGATGCAGGTTGAAAAACGCTGGAGTTTTCTTTTGATTCCAGCTCTAGTTCTCCACACCAGATTTAACTAACCAGGATCTCCAGAATGTCTTCATCTGTGTCTGAATTATGGGATTATGGTTTTTGATTTTGAGATATACAGGAGAGAAGGTTGGACAGGGAGAAGGTTGGAGAGCACGTTTGAGTGAAAGATGATAAAAATACATAACAG